GTGAGCATTTTGATATTTCAGTGAAATACACAGGGCCGCCGTCGATCGTAAGCATGAGAGGAGCTCCGGGAGAGTATGTTGGCACGGCGCCGTCTGCTGCACTCAAAGGAGCATTCGTGAGCCTAATTTTCAGTGCTAAGAAGGAGAACGATAAGCACGAAGATAAGTAAGCATGGTGTGAGCCCGATTGTGAGGGCGATCTGTTGGCTGCAATTTATATTTCTGCGGAACGGTCTTTTACTGTTCGAGTGGTTGCTGATGTAGGTATTTCACTGTTCGAGTCCCTGAGCATCCTAAGTCATGTGAGCATGCCCTGAAGCTGGGCCTCGAGCATCTGTATGAGGAGACCGAATCAGATGGAGTTTGGATATCTAATGCATTCAATCGTTTTACCCCAATTGAAGTGGAAACTCGATTGAAGGAGGTATGCCGATAGTATTCGGTGTCTCATCCGATTACACGTCGGTCTATTAGGTGGCTGAGGAGTCTGTCGCTAACAAGAGCTTTCGGCCGATTCGAGACCTTGTAAGCATGGATTCCTCTTCTAGTCATTTCCCCTTTTCGACTCTGTCATTTTCAGGGAGGAGGCGGCATTTATTCAGTAAGCTCGGGAGTTCACAGGGCTTAACGATCCAGAACTCTTCTTTATGCGCCTACATTGCAATCATATCTGCTGTATACACTAGTGCTCCTATCTACTTCAGGGAAAATCATGGTGGGATATAGCAATCGGCTCCAATCTCGTGAGTATAATGATATCGGAATGACATGCGGAATGCTCGGCTCTCCTCAGTCCCAAGCGTGCTTTGCCTTCGACGACTCCACTAGCTTGGCTTGGCGGTTGGAGCCCCTAAAATGTACGTTGGCTGTTAGTTCTCTGATTACTGATTCTCTATGCATCGCCATCTGGGATAGTGATCATGGAGTGGAATCGGGTTCATCTTCCTCTAGACATAACTGCTTTCTGTTAGTATTCCCCGGCCCTTTTGTGAACTTCCAGACGGGGGAGAGTGACACTGCACTACTCGTAGACTTTT